ACTTAAAAATAGTTTGTGCAACTTAAACTAAAATCTACAACGAAGCCTGCGGATCTTATCGTGTAAAAAACGAGGAAGAAAGTCTCGCTCGCACATCTAGTTTATATTTAAAATTTTCCGACATCACTAATTTTTATACAAATCCTGTTAAATCGCGGTTTTTCTGATGATGCATAATTATATTATCAAAGCTGATGTTGATAAAAGAAAACATTTTTGATATTATCTTTATATCATAAATTCTACAAAGTTCATCACAATTTATCGTGATGCATAAAGAGTTTTCGAGTTATAAGACGGTGAATTATTAATTAAATTAATTAATGTATTATATATACAGTATAAAATAATATAATTTAATCAATTAGAGTACAGCATGTACAGTAGTGTACATTCACTTTTGGTAGTTTAGAAGATTGTGATAAGTGGAACTTTAAATTCAATTCTATTTCATATATTGCTTTCATTTAATCTTGACAGGCAGACAGTAAATTCTTACGGTTGGTTAACAATACGATTATTGCTATATCTATATATATAGTGATACTAAATGATACAGTAGTAACTTGCGTGCGCAATAATAGCGATAGTGTCGAGTGCCGTTCTTTTTCGAAACTGGATAATTTGCCGCATTAAATTAAATTATGCAGTCTGGAATTGTACGCTGTAAAGTATTCAATCCACTCTCATAATATCAAAACAAGACACTGCTTTATTAGATTAATTTTATGCTGAATAGGATCGAACTCTGCAAAGTATTCAATTCACCCTCGTAACATCAAACTTATACTAATCGATATTATTTTCACCTTATACTACAGGTTCTGATTGTGTTTCACCAAAAACCTAATTTCAGATTTTTACAGTTAAGTTACCTAATTTCAGATACTTCCAATTAAAGTATAAAGTTATTTGACATTATTACAAAATAACTAATTGGTTAGATAGTAGAAGTGGTCTTTACTTATCGAACTGTTGCTAAAACGGAAATTGATGTTAAAGTCTAAAATTTAGAACAAAAGAAAGACGAAATCAAATCTTTAATTTTGCTAATATACCAAAATGAACTGCCTACAAACCGATAAAATATGGCTGACGTAATCGATCCTAGACTCTACCTGATTAGTGAAGCGGTAGCACTCTTTACAAACAGCTACCTCGCAGTAGCACAATATATACGCAATTATATCGGGCATTTAGGGTAGGGATGACGATTCAGGGTATTTCGAATAGAGATCCTTATCACAGAACCTAATATGCCATGAATCGTATGGAATTATGCTTTGTGGTACTTTACCTTATTCAGATCCCGTTTTTAAAAGGCGCGCTGCGGTCTCTGTACGACTGTATTCCCGCTATTTTAGATTAATGATGTGCTCGGCTTTTTACGATAATGAAAAATATCGCAATGAGCGCGTCACGCAATTTTATCACGTTAACGACGCCGTGTTGATGCGCTCCCAAACAGGTCATATACTGCTTGTTAACAATGTTGAACTTACGTACATTTGAATATAAATTAAATAGTTCGAAATTTATGCAACAGTTTGCATTGCTGTACTTTACGAGTGTATGCAATTACATATTGAGGCAACACATTCCGAACACGCTCTGCTCTGTACTGAATAAAATATCTAGTGTAAATGACATAAAATTTTCCGTTTTTCACTTGCTTAACATGTTTTCTACATACTCATACTACATAAAGTTGTATTGCGCAATATCTGACATTTAATGTATGTTTCATGTTGAAAAATTTTCACATTCCTTTATGTAATAATAGGATATTATACAGTACAGTACAGTAAATTAGTTTACTACATACCGTACATACGTATATACTCGTTTTCTCCACCGATCTACAATATAGTTCGTTACTTTTGTATTGCAGTATACCAGTATGTAAAGCACACACACCTATAAAAGTAAGTTGCGTGACAGAGTCAGGTGTGGTGGGCAGCGCACACACATTTCAGATAAGATATTGTACTGTATTGTTCGCTTTCTTGAGTATAATTTTACAAACATTTTCTATGCTACAGTAATTTGCAGTTTATAACTTTGTACTGTAAATAAGCGCACACACACACCTATAAAAGTAAGCTGCGTAAATATGACTTCACTCATCGCCCGTCGCTCGTCGCCGAAATATTTCAGCGAGGAGCGACGAGTGACGTCATAAAGATTTGACTGCAATCACTGGACTCGTCGCTCGTCGCGGGTCGCTGTGTTTTCATCGCTCGTGTGAACACACCTTAATATGGTCGGGTGCAGTGAGATAATATATATATTTATATTATATGTATATAGATTTTTTTATCTCCTTAACTCTCTTGAATACCAATATTTGTACAAGTAACTAAGCAAACTTATTTGCAAAACTTTCTTTACTTGAGGTAGATGCAAATAGATTAATGTAAACTATTCTTCACCTCTTAGTTCAGGCATTTCATCTACGATTATATTTTTTGTCAAGCTTTGTAAGTTATTTCTTGCATAGTAAACGCGACCATGAATACGTGCGAAACCTGAACATAAATAGTATTTCCATTCATGTTAAAAAATTCAACTCGAACGCTATAAAGTTTCAGACTTGCACCCAACTGAACCTTTCTTAAGTCTAATTCTGAGAACGCTAAGTACCAGTGCCCTAAGTATTGTAAAGAAAGATACTGTACCAAGCAAGCTACTGAATTCCATATGCATGTATATCGATTCCTATTTGAAGCTCAATACGAATAGGTTATTAACGATCACTATTTACGAGAAATGAATTTTTTTGCAAATCGTATGAAATTAATCTCCCGACAGATTCAGTTTAATTAAATCGCTCTCATCTTTGTCTTTAATTCGTCATTGTATAAGCATTCCAAGATGCTTGTACGTAAATAAAACTGAAATAACTTTCTCTACAGACTCTTTAAGGAGATAGTAGAGAACTATGACGACTGGTATAATGTTATTATCATATAGATAACTGTAATATCGACATTCCTTCGTACCTTTTTTCAATGTACATTTGACTAATATTTAAATTAGAATCGCTCTTGTCGGTTGCACAGTATCGTAAAATCGACTACTGTTACAATTGTCTCGCCTCTGTCGTAACATTGCCTGTGCTGTAAACTACAGCTAGTTCTATTGTAGTGTACGCGCCATAGAACGTGAAGAATCCTAGATATCGTACAGTACTATTTACGGCTTATCTACAGCGTGATTATTTTCGATGTCTCCTTCTTCCTTAAAAAATCAAAGTTGTATTCCGTTGAAATTCCTGTATAGTATTTATATATACCCATAGAAGGATATCTCCCAAGATAGATTATCATGATAACATAAACGTACTATGTCAATAGATAGTAAAAAAATCGTTTTAATGGCGGACAGTTATTTTACAGTAGTGTTTGGGTGGTCCATAGTGCTTTTTGGAGAAATGTAGTACTGTATAAACTATGACGTAATGGCATTACGTCATAGTTTACTGATTCAAAAATAGCGTACCAAAAAGAATTGAACGCATTATGTTACACGGCTGCCATGATTTAAAAATGGAATATCTTCTTTATTGCATCAAAATATTTCGTTTTATTCGTAACTGACAATGATATAGCGTCTACTTTATGCAATTACTTACTCAGTAATGATATCATGCCAAGTACAGGCTGGAAATTAGCTGAAATAATCAGATCAGTTCTTACTATATTAAGGCATGCAAATTACAGTATATGAGTACACATTGAAAGTAAGCCAAATTGACAATTAGAGTTCCGCAGTATTTATTGAAGTACTAAATTTAGGTAATTACACATACACAAATACCATATATTTACATTTAGGTACTCTCTCGGGCATAAGAGACTTTCGCTCAGGTGTTGGTCTTCTCAACACGGATCCAGTTGCAAGAAATTTCTTACACCTTCATAAAAGTTGTACGATGCGACTTTGTAGATATCCTAGGATACTCTTGCAGGAAGCATCTTCTGGCCACGCTGGGGCTCTTATGTTCTGCCATAAGGACAACCATGAAAGTTCTTTGCTGTACTGTCAACATACTGTCAGACTAAGCACAAAAAAGACGAAAAAAAGTGTGTATACGGAGTAGCACAGTACCTCAAAAAAAATTTTTACAGAATTTTAAATTACGCGCCATATTATTAGGTAACACTGTGCATTATCTGAGTATGGGCGGGACATACGCGTACTGTAGTCATTTCAAGCTTCTGACCAATCTTACGGGAAAAGTATAGAATATCTAGAGAAATAAGAACCAAACTGGCATTCCTGGGTTATTAGGCTACAACCAAATATAGAATTTATCTAGTTTGGGTCTGATTTAGCTTATACAATTATATGTTTTCACGCGGCGCGGCGACCGACTCCATGGTGCACCACAGTCTACAGTACAGCGCGGTCCTCATTTTAATTACAGCTAACTGTAGTAAGTAAATTAACTATTGCAAGATGCAGGAAGAGCAGGATTGTCTAAAATGCTATATCGAAAACTATTTCTACCGCGGATTACAAAATAATGTTATCATTGAATTTCTGAGAAACTATCATTCAATTAACATCGGTGAACGAACACTAAAGCGGAGACTGAAAGCCTATAACTTACGCAGAAGCCAGGGATATGACGAAGAAGAGCTAAAAGATATAATTCGGCTTGTTATTGAGCTATTCTGGCGAAAGATGTGGTTATAGGACTATTTGGCACATGCTCAGATTGGAGCATCACATATGCATTCCAAGAGATGTAGTGGCACGTATCATGAAAGAGATCAATCCAAAAGGAATACTATTACGAAGTCGAAAGAGATTTAGTAGAAGAAGATATATAAGTTATGGTCCAAATTTTTGTTGGCATATCGATGGTAAGAATAATATGATAGAAGTTATACACCTAATATAACCTGTAATTTTCTAGCAACAATAATATTATCATGTAGTACTACGAATGCTTTATTCCTCCTATCGATAAAAAATGTTTTATTCTATCGCTAATGGTTGTTGATTCTAAATCCTCAATTGGTATGCTACTAATAGAATTCGTTTGGCTTGTAATTGTGATTAATCGGTAATGTAGCGCTTTAATACGCAGATCTTACATATTTTCTTACACTAAACATTCTATTGTTCTGCTTTGATAAGCTAAAGCCATATGGCTTTCCCATTCACAGATGTATTGACGGTTATAGTCGAAAAATTCTTTGATTAGAATGCCGTCGATCAAGTAATAAGCCAGAAATTATAGCATCTCTTTATCTTAAATGCGCAAAAAAATATTCTGGATGTCTTATGATTGTCAGAAGCGACTGTGGTGCGGGAAACAATCTATTAGCTTCTATTCAATGTTATTTTCGTCAATTAGGGAGAGATCCGTTTGCCGGTAACAACGCACGCAGATATGGTACATCACCAGCGAACCAACGCATCGAAAGCTGGTGGTCATTCTATCGTCGGCACAGAGCTGGCTGGTGGATTGATCTCTTTAAGGATATGGTACAATGCAGTATACTAAGCGTAAATAATACCTTTCATACAGAATGCCTACATTTCTGCTTTGAATCTATTCTTCAAGACGAGCTTGATATGGTTAAGGATCAGTGGAACTCGCACCGAATCAGGCGCTCTAGGACAAATGTGGTCTCGGGCGTGCCTGATATTATGTACTATTTGCCCCATCGTTTTGAAGCTTATAATTGTATGGAACGCGTAAGTGCTCCCATGATTACTGAGATGGAGCGAAACGTCAATTCGGAAGACATCGGTGAAAATACCGGATCTATGCATGTCGAATATTTTGACTATGTCTAATGAGGAATTACAGTTACCATCTACAATACCTGAGGCGTTCACTTTATTTTAGAAATTGACCGCTTTTGCTACTGGGCACTAGAGTGCCCAAGCTTTTAGATTACGCCGGATTGTTTAGATACATACGGTATAAGTGAACGTCAGTTATCCTACTAATGCAAATTTATTGTTGATTGATATTAGTACTGTAATATGATCTGTCTAGTTTCTTCATAAACGCAATAAAACTGATTTCAAATCTGTAGTTTTATTTACTGCTATTTTATAACGACAAAATGAAAGATTAACATTAATGCAACAAATCCTTACTCAGTTATCGCACAAGTATTGCTACAGCATTATACATGCAACTTGAAATAACTCATAATACTGTACCTTTTAGCAAATTAAGAAATATAATAAAACGACCATTCGTATATAAGTTAATCTACGTTGATACATAAAATTGCTTTCATATAACACCTAAACCAATGCAGTCCTCTACAGCAGACTTCATCATCTGTCTCATATTCTCTAATGTGTGAATATGAGTTGGCAATCTAAAAGTAAGATCACATCTCGATGCAGTAGGACGAAACCGACAACCTTCTGAACATACATATACAAAAGAAACCGATATTTTCATATTAAACCCAAGTAATGGTGTTACTTTACTTCCAGTAATCCATTGCATAAGTTCTGCGGTTGTAAAATCCTCTATTTACTGTGTAACTTCCGAGTTGGTCAATACAGTACCTACTATAGAAGTATATACTTAGATATTTAACTGCTGCTTATACTAAGATAATAAAGTCAAAGTTTATATCAAATTGCGAGCGTCATCTTTCTTGCGTGGATGAATAACCCTTATATCACCGATTACATCGTCACAGCTTTGAAATAGTTTCACAGTTTCTCACTAGCAGAACGACCATTCTTTCACTATACATATATATACTCAGCGTCAAGATAGATCGAGTCCCTGCGATCTGAAACTGACTATAGATAAATGGAAGTAATCTACGCAATTATGCTAACCAGAGAGTAATTCAAGAAAATTGTTACGTTAAACCATCACATTATTAAAGCTAAAAGAGTAACTAAGGAATATGATAGGTACAGAATGATAGCCGTATTAGTTGCAGAAATCATACGTTTCTGTTCTGTAAGTGGTGTGAAAGTGTGACACCCAGTGATAGCGGCATTAATGCATGATGAATAGTGCAAGAACGGTCACTGTTTAGTAATCACGTCGCAGCCGTTGAAATAATTCAAATCGAGGGTAATGATGTGTTTAGTAAGCGAATTATCACGTATGTTTATTACGTGTTTTTATTCTAACAGTACAATGTAACGCGCAAATTAAGAGACAGTAGTAGCACATACATCAGTAGATTGCCAACAATGAAATAGCTGCATGTAGTAGAATTATTGTAGCGCTCGACACTATATAGGTTGAAAATTTTCATGAATTAATATGTACAGTACTGTAAAGATTAACCTCATCTATGTAGTAATATAGCATGTAATTATTATTCACTGTCAATATAAGGTACATATGAATGTAGTAAATGAATAATCTGATCAACTATATTTACATATATAATTATTAGATTTTTATCTATAACATTATATACTGAACATAATATACCGGATTACTGTGCTGTTCGCAATATCTGCCTTCATTGTCTATTGTAATTGCAACAGCTATGACGAACATGTGTCAAAGCGAACAGTATATTCTTTTACAGCTTCGTGTTCGTAATTAATTGCATACCATCCTAATGTCTGCTAAATGCAGCATAACAATAAAAATTTCAGACGTACTAACGATGCTACTGAAAGCATCTCAGGCTTGACCCTTAGGTAGACTGAACGCTATATTATCAATAAGAACAGATGAGGCATTACTCTACATGCAAGTATATTACCTAAACTGATTATGAGAGACATTACAATAACTTAACCTGTAGATTGTAAACTAAGCTAAATTAAAATAATTAAATTTAGTATTAACAGGAACATTTTACCTACTCGTAGAAGCGGAATAAATCGCATTGTAGACTGTATTGACGTCAAGAACAATACTTTGCTAGTTAAAGCCCATAGTCGTATACTGAGCCCAGTCATATCCATTAAATGTTACGAAATTACGATAAATATCAAGAAAATTATGGTAAAGAATCGGCGTTATATAACCGTCATCTGGGCATAAAGGGTTAAGTGTAATACAACAGTATACGTACAGTGCAATAATTGCAGAATATTAATGAAAGAAATAAAACTGCTGAAAGCGAAATAGAACCAATGCGTAGTACACATACTGTAGTAGATCAAAATCCACTCTCGAGGTTGATGTGCCTAGCATTTGGCTGTACCGGAATATTATACTTCGTATTCGCATTTGCAAAGTATTACGTGTCAATGTTACAGTTCCACAAACAGTAATTAATAATCAAGCCTAAATAAAGACTTAAATACAGTACACGTACAAAAAAATTAGCGGATTCCCAAAATCGGTAGTAAGATTGCGACGTAAATATGACTGCTTGGAAATTGTTAACTGTAAATTAATCAACTGAGCTTAATTTATCAATTTTTAGAATTAGAGGAGATAAAATATGATAAACTAATACCTTCCGACGGCATAAACACTTAAGATATGGAACACAATCGGGGATTACTAGAGGATGCAGCATTCTCTGGTACTACTGTACTGTACTACATAAATGTAGAACACACGCGTAAATTCTGTTAATGCACCATTAGCATGTAATTTCCGTATGTTCAAAACACAACTTAAGCTTCGGCTATCAATGCTACTGTAGGTGTTTGGATCTTTTCTGTACTGTATACAGCTTTGGTGGGAATAAACTAATGTAATTCCTATGGCAAAAATTTGATATCTATGCTCATTTACCAAAATTATTAATTGTAAGTAACTATTACAATTAGTAACGACTGTTTCGCATAACTAGATCTGTAAAGGTTCTAGATCCTTCAAGACGTTCTGAAGCAAGAACCTTTCGGGATTTCGATTTTTCACTGGGAACTGGTTCTTGTTCGATTCAGCACAGCTTAATCTGCGTTCCACGTTACAGTATAGTACCGTACACGATAGACTCGATAAGTCTAAAGTACAATATCATAGTAGAGAGAAAAAAATTCAATGGTGAATCCGATACAGCAAATCGTAAATCTTGTATCTCATGTTGACGAGGGCTACCTAGTAATAACATTGATCTGTCAAAGCAACCTGCCAAATTGTACATTATACGTATGCTAGCCAATCTAAACCCGCATAGTGATGGACGTGGAAATTTCTATACGTACAGTAAGTATAGAGTTTAGCAGTTTAGAGATTGAGATTTTTTATTAAAGTTCTTTCACACTTTTAAAGTGATGAAGACTATCTACACTGTACGCTGATTCCGGAAGTATGCATAGTTTTTTCTCTCCCACTCTCCGTTTTGCCGTGATGGTATTACAAAAAAATCGTCTTTTACTTTATGCACACACAGTAGATTATTATTATTATTAAGACTCATTGGCAGCGTCAAAAGCGCCTAACAATGATTAAACTCTTTATTGAGCAATAAGATACAACCCCCAAGATCTTTTAACCTCATTAGCAGTTCGCGGATCAATTTCATAAAGTGTTTAATATCGTCTTCCATAAAAGACTCCGATGGTTCGTATTCTAATTCCCGGCGTACTGCATAGTTCACCCATCTATTAGATTTAGATTCGGGCAAGAGCTAAGTTGCGAACAGATACATTGGAATGCAACGTGCAAATCAATATCCAGCATCCTACAATACTCTACTGTACAATACGCGTATGTGCCATTCGCTAAAGTTATTTACAACTTTACCTTCACTGTGTAGGAATTCCAAAACAAGATAAAATTTGAAAAGAAATTCCATAATATTATTATTACAGTGCTGTGAATCATATCCAATTTGTATACCTTTAGAACGATACATAATAGAGCGCATTGAAGACCGTAGTATATCACTACTGCAGTCATTAACTCTTCCAATCAAATGCATGAAATTTAAAGGACCAAGTTCATCGAGCAACATCATGCAGAAATTTACATTTAATAATTAACCATCGTCAACTTACAATTTTGGGCCATCACTAAATGCGCTGCGTAAGACAGCAATTCAAGGGATGATTTCTCTTTATTATCCATGCCTCAATAATTATAATAATTTAACTTCTGACGAGCATACAGTACTGTATACAGTAGTACAGTATAAATATGCACTATACAGTATATATATGTATGTTGTATAATAGTACTGTACAGTATCTCAGCGGTTTTGCAAATTGAGATTCGACTACGTCATATATTATTGCATAAACGCTTCTTTTACAAGTTATTAAATGATCATCTAGTATCTTCCTCGTTCTCCTTGTGCAGAAAAAGAAGGAAATATGTACAGTACTGTACAGTAACTTTACTTTATTACTAAACCCCAAATCAGCTAAAAGTGTACAGTATCAAACTCGGTACTGATCTGGCGTAGAGTATTGTACAGTACTGTGGCCGTGTACTGTACTGTACTGTACTGTGACCATACAGTACGAGAATAGCAAAAGTTGTTTCACATTGTGAGAGGGGTAAGCAATGATTCAAACAACTTTTATTATTCTCGTATGGTCGACTGCACAGTGTACTGTACAGTACAGTACTATACTGTGCAGTACAGTCCAGAGAGGAAAAAGAACCTCTGCTGTACTGTACTGTACAGTAGTTGGAAAAACAGTTTTTTTCTTTCCTCAATGAGCACAGTGTACAGTACAGTACAGTACACTGTAATGTATAGTACTGTACTGTACAGTACTATGGAGGGCGAAAATCGGCGGTGCATAATTTCCGAGGCGTCGTTATACTGTACTGTACACTGTACAGTACATGTAGACAGCGTAGTCTACTCTACAGTACAATACGTCCTTACAGTACATTTTTAGTGCGTAACTATAGTACTGTACTGTACACATCTAAATTGAGT